AAAATATTTAAAGGGCACCCATTTTTCTTCAGTTAATAATGTAAAAAAGACTGCATTGACATGGTTAAATTTCCAGGACCCTCAGTTGTTTAGGGATGGACTAAATAGCTGGTACCATCACTTGCAAGAGCATCTTGAGCTTGATGGAGCTTATGTTGAGAAACAAAGTTTGTATTTTTCATTTTTATTTTTTAATCCTATATTTTCATTAACTTTTTAAAGTCCCCTTATATACAGGTATATCCACACACATAAAAAGGGTCTAGAAACAAAGAAACCCTCGTAAGCCATGAGCACATCCAGTACTCATATAGTATTTCCTAAAACCATTTCCTTTAAAAATGATGGTACATACCAAAAGGATGTAAGAGCTTAAAGCTAGTACAATTTGAACATCAAAATGTTAAAGGACTGTAATGAATTATTAACTGCTGAAAAATAGTAATTCTTGAATCTATATTGGTAATAGATTGATGAATTGGTCAGTTGATTGGTAAATAAATTGATTAATAAGTAAAGACTCTTTTTACCGTAGAATACTGACTGATAAATGTGGAAGGTAGTCCTGGAGTTTGAAAGTTATCGTTTTGTAGTAATCATAATAAATACTGGTTTGGGCAAAAATCTTCAGTGTACGCTTCAGAGGTTAGATTGACGGTGTACAGGATATTTGCATAGTTTTAAAACATTTCTTCATAGATCATTTGTATGTCGAAAGAGAAATACCATTAGCTATACAGTGGAGAAACCAAACACACTGTGACTGTCAGAATATCTAACTTAATTTTGTTATACTCAGGCAACATAGTCTGTACAATTTCAGTCCTTCTAAATGTAGTGACTTGTTTTCTGGCCTAACATATTGTTTATGTTGGTGAATATTACATATGTATTTGAAAAGAATGTGAGTTTTGCAATTTTTGGTTGGAATTTTATAAATACCGGATCAAGTTGGTTGATAATGTTAAATTCCATCAAACACTTTTTAAAAGGAGTGTTGAAATCCCCAGCTATAATGGTGTATTTGTCTATTTTTCTTTTCAGTTCTGTCAGTTTTTACTTTATGTGTTTTATAGCTTTGTTTTCAGTGTATATACATTTAGGATTGTATCAAATTCTTCTTGATGAATTGCCTTCTTTATCGTTATGTCTTTATCATGCTCCTTTTTGTCCTTGATAGTATTTGTTTTAAAAAGTATCAAGGACATAAAAGACAAGGAAAGACTGAGGAGCTGTCACAGCTTGGAGAAGAATAAGGAAACATGACAAATAAATACAATGTGAGGCCTTGGACTGAAAAAGTTTTCCTAAACTGATAAAATCTAAATAAAGTCTGCATTTTTTTTTCCTTTTTATCTTTTTTACTGACCGGTAACGGGATCGCAACCCTCGGTGTCGGGACCGGCAACGGGATCGCAACCCTCGGTGTCACGCCCGCACCGTGCTCAACCAGTGAGCGGGAACCAGTCTCCACATGGGATCCGAACCCTCGGCAGAAGTGCTGCCGCGCTCCCAGGCGGCGCACTCTCCAGTGCGCCACCGGGCCGGCCCAGATAGTATTGGTTTTCTGAAGTCTATTTATATTTTGCACAATCATGGATAAGGCTGGCTTTAAGTCTATTATCTTGCTATTCATTTTCTATATTTTTCATCTGTTGTTTGTTCCACTTTTCTCTTTCCTTTGTGTTCATTTTATCTCCATTTATGCCCCCCCCATTTTTTATGCTACTGTTGTCATATATCCTACATGCTATAAATGCCACAATACACTATTATGTTTTTTAATAGCCTTATTGAGATATAATTCATGTACCATACAGTTATCCTCTTAAAGTATATAATTCAGTTTTATTGTTTTTACTTTAAATAATCAGATAGTACTTCAAGAAATTAAAAGATGAGAGAAGTGTATTTTATATTTTCCCACATATTTACCATTTTAGTGCTCTTCATTTCTTTGTATAAATCCAAGTTTCCATCTGGTGTTGTTTTCTACTTCTGCCTGAAAAATGTCCTTTAACATTTCTTACAGTGCATGTCTCATGGCAACAAATACTCTTGGATTTTGTCAGAAAAAGTCTTTCGCTTTTAATTTTGAAGGATATTTTCACTGGATATAGAAGTCTAGCTTGATATTGTTTTTCTTTTGGCATTTTAAGGATATCTTGCCATTATGTTCTGGCTTGCACTGTTTCTAACTAGAAGTCTATGGCCTTAATCTTATTTTAGTCTTAACTCTACAATTATGTACTTTGTTTCCTGAGTTCTTGCACATTCGAAACTTTTTCTCTACCTCGGTAACTTGCAAGGTAGTTTGGCTAGATATAAAATCTTAGCTCATGCTTTCTTTCTTTAGGTTTCTTGAGATGCTACTCTACTGTTACCTTGCTTTGTATTTGCTTTTCAGAAGTCTGATGCCAGTCTTACTCTTTTTCCCCTGAGTGATTTCCTCTTTTTGCCTGAAGGCTCTGAGGCATTTTTTCTGTCATTGCTTTTAAGATTTTCTCTTTATTGCTGATTTTTATTAATTTTATTATGATTTGCTTCAGTTTCGTTTGTGTTTATCCTGTTTGGGATTTGTTGAGCTTCTTGGATCTGTGGTTTTCTAGTTTTTATCAGATTTTGAAAGTTTTTACCTATTAGTTTTTCAGCTATTTCTTCTAACCCTTCACTCCTCTGGATTCCAATTGTATATGATAGTAAATGTAATAATTGTCCCACAGGTCAGTGATAATCTGTTCATTTTTTCAGTCTTTTCTCTATTGATAACTTCATTTTTTTATATTTTATGTTGCTATGACTTCAAGTTCACTGATATTTCCTTCTACAATGTCTAACTTGCTATTAATCCCATCTAGTGAATTTTTATTTCAAATCTTGTGTTTTTCATCCCTAAAAGTTTAATTTGAATCTTTTTTATATCTTCTATTTCTATACCTATTTAATGTTTTCCTTTGCATTCTTTTTCATACTTTTAATAGATTTTTGACATCCTTGTCTGCAATTGGGTTTGATTGTTTTGAGACTTGTGTTTTAGCTCTTTTGGGTTGAATATAGAGTAGCTTTTATTCTAAGCCTAATTTACTTCCTTTCCTAAAGCATGGCCCCTTTAGGTCTCTATTAATACTCCATGAAATCATCTAGGTCTCTCCATATGACTGGTGGAAACTCAAACAATTTTAGGCCTTGCATGAGCTCTGGAAATTGTTTGGCTACTAGCTTCCCACTAATGATTCTTTTTCTTGAAGTTTTTCTTGCCTGGTGTCAGTGGGTTTCAACCTGTACATGCAGCTGAATATTCAAGTGGACTCCAGTGCAGATTTCGAGAGTTCTTCCTTTGCAAAGCTACCTCCTCTCGAGTACTGTGTCCCAGAAATCTTAGCACCCTCAACCTTCCAAACTCCAGTTTCTTTCATCTCAACTCAGCAGGATTTCTGAGCTCTGTTTGGGCCCTCCCTGGCCTGCAATTTACAAATTGCCTCAAGACAGAAAACCTGGGTAATGATAGGGCTCACGTTGTTTGTTTCCCTTCTGTTAGGGAACAGTTTTGCCTTGGCTGTTGTTCAGTATCTGAAAATAGTTATTTTTTACATTTTGTCCAGTTTCTCATCATTTATGGTGGGAGGGTACTTCCAGATCCTGTTACGTCCTCATAGTCAAAAGTAGACGTTCTCGTAGGTACTCAAAACTGACATTACCAAGAATATCATGCATCTTTGGATGTGATGCCTTTAGAAGGACAAAGTATCACTATGTACTCTTCCAACCTGAGCTGAATCTCATGATGAGGACATAGAAAATCCAATATGAAGAACAGGCCATTAAAAACAGGGCTGGGGAGGACTATATTCTTCAAAAAATGTCATTGTCATGAAAGAGAAAGCTGAGGATTTATCCCTGAGTACAGGGAAACTAAAGAGATATGAAAACATTATTTGATCCAGGACTGAATCTTGTATTTAAGGGAGAAAAAAAAAGTTATGAAGAACATTCTTGGGTAATTGACAAAATTGTATTAAAGAAAGTATATTAGGGGCCAACCCCGTGGCTCACTCGGGAGGGTGCGGCACTGGGAGCGCAGCAGTGCTAGTAGCGCCGAGGCCACGGGTTCGAATCCTATGTAGGGATGGCCGGTGCGCTCACTGGCTGAGCGCAGTGCGGACGACACCAAGCCAAGGGTTACAATCCCCTTACCGGTCACAAAAAAAAAAAAAAAAAAAAAAGAAAGTATATTAATTAGATAAGAATATTGTATCAATGTTAAATTTACTAATGTGGTAACTGTACTGTATTATATGAGAGAATGTTCTTGTTCTTATGAAATACATTGAAGAACTAAAGGAGAATGGTGTGTGCAACTTACTCTCATGGTTCAGGAAAAATAGAGGGGTATTAAATGATAAAGTGCATGGTACAGAAGTTTAACAGTTGGTGAATCTGGGTAAAGAATATTATAGTAACTTTTCTGAAAGCTTAAATATATTTCCAAATTAAAAGTTTTAAAATAAATATGTACTTTGGAAAAATGTTTGGCAGTACCTATTAAAGCTAAACACATGTAACCTATGACCCAGTGGTTCCTTTTCTGGGCATATTATGTAAGAGAAATGAATAAGTTATCTCAGTGAAAAAATTATAAATAAGAATAAATACCTCTTTGGGTAAGTCCCCAGTTATGTTTAGCATTTATTTGAAAATGTGCAATCTTCCATTAGTTGAAACTAAGTTATTGTTATAATGTTATAATGCAGTGATTCTCAAAGTATAATCCCAGACCAGCATCATCAGCATCATCTGATAAGTTGTTAGAAATGCACATTTTTGCCCCACTCTCTCCAGACCTACTGAATCAGAAACTCTGGAATTGGGGTCCAGCAATATGTAGTTCAGCAAACCTTCCAAGTGATTCTCATGCATGCTAAAGTAGAGAACCTCTGCTGTACTGAACATATTTCAGGAACTACTATTATCTTCTAAAGCACTCTTTCTTTCATTTTCAGCTTTTCCAATTTGGGAAATACCTGCTATATGAATGCTATTTTACAGTCTTTATTTTCACTTCAATCATTTGCGAATGACTTACTTAAGCAGGGTATCCCATGGAAGAAAATTCCACTCAATGCACTTATCAGGTAATTGTTATGTACTTTCTGAATAACTTTTTACTTCATTGCTTATAGAATGCTTATATTTGAAATGAATGCTCATTGCTTATATTTGAAATTTTATGTGCCATTGTTAGTAGTCTTTAAAATATCATGCCATCCAATGTTTTGTAAAACATGCTAACCTTGTCTCTTTTGTTTTACCAGACGCTTTGCACACTTGCTTGTTAAAAAAGATATCTGTAATTCAGAGACCAAAAAAGATTTACTCAAGAAGGTCAAAAATGCCATTTCAGCTACAGCAGAGAGATTCTCTGGTTATATGCAGAATGTGAGTGCTAATTGTTTTTAAATGTTTTAGACATAAGGGAGTATGAAATGATTTTTACTTTAAAATGAGTTTTGTGTGTGTGTTCATCATGGGTTGAAAAACCTGAGGGGTGACGGTAAAGTTCATTATGACTGTTCTGTGTATTTTATCATTTTAATATATAGATGTGGTTTGCCAGTGCAAAAACAGGCTGCGTTAGCTACAAAGCCTATTTTAGAAAACTTACTTTTTTTTTTTAAACAAAGTGAGTCATTTATTTATTTATGTATGCAAATGCAACTGATAGTTAAGAATATAAAATCTGTCATTTGCTTATTCACAAAACATGTACCCCCAAATCCTTATTAGAATAAATCTGACCTTATTTGTGTATGTTACTGATTTCCAAGTGCTTTAGTTGTATAAATCACAATGTTAATAAGCCATTATTGTGATTAGAAATGTTTTGATATGATTAAAGATATTATTGTCTTCTTAGGATGCTCATGAATTTTTAAGTCAGTGCTTAGACCAGCTGAAAGAGGATATGGAAAAATTAAATAAAACTTGGAAGACTGAACCTGTTCCTGGAGAAGAAAATTTGCCAGACATTTCAGCTACTAAAGTATACACTTGCCCTGTTATTGCAAATTTGGAGTTTGAGGTTCAGCACTCCATTATTTGTAAAGCGTAAGTAGTCTGTAAGATTTTCCCTCTTTTAATTCTTTATGGCAATTTCTGTGACTTCTTGTCTTCCTTCCTATGTAATGGGGAAAACATAAACCCACAGATTACACCAAATTTCTTTTTTCAGAGTCATTATCTTTCTATAAAAATGCTTGGTGGGGACCTGGCTGCTTAGCTTGGTTAGGGCGTGGGGCTGATAACACCAAGGTGTAGTACAGGCCAGCCACACACACACACAAAAAAAATGTTTGGCAGGATGAGAACTGAGGAGAATTTAAATGCTTTGTTATATGCTTTAGTACTGAATAAACAATTTGATCCACCGTGTTTTGTTTTTTCTTTTCATTGCCGTGTACAATATTGAGTTGTTTGGAATCCTTGTTTTCTTTTTCACTGAGAAGACCCCCTCCTTATTAGTTGCTTATTTTGTTCAGCCAAATTATTATTAAAAATATTTTTTTACAAAATAGGTCAAAATTGGAATAATTTTTAACTTTTACAATGCATTGCAATCATGTTCACGATAATTATTGGCTTACTTTTTCCATTTATTAATTTCCATACTCATTAACAGGACTCTATACCGTGTACTTTGCTCAAAAGGTTTAATTTTGTTTAATATTCTAGTCATGTATAGTACATCTCTGAATAGTTTTTTAGAAAGAATGGAATTCTTCACAGCCCGTTTGTAAGTGAAAATTATTTCTGTGACTTCATATGTGACTTAACACAATTGTTTAGACACACCCAGCCTTTACCCCTCAACGTGTTATATATACCGCCTCGTCTTATCCTGTTATGCTGACACTCAAAAGAAACCTGACTTTGTGGTAATCTTTTCTTTTTCTTCCTGAAAATGTGTGGTGTTCTTTATTTTTGAAATTTACAATTGTACTAGTTTACATGTAGGTATTCACACTTTTTGTTGCTTTTTGCCTTTAACATGATAGACCCTTTTTATCTGAAGATTTGGGTTTTTCTTTAATCTCAAGAAAACTATTCTCTAAATATTGCTTCTCTCCCATTTGTTCTGGGATATTTCTTTAGAAATATTCAAAACCCATATATTGGTTTCCAATTCTCTGTCTTCCATATCTGTTTCTCTTAGCCTGCTCAAAATGATTGTCTTCAATGAGGTCTCTTTCAACTATAACATTCTAGCGTTTTTGACTAGAATTTGTTCATGTGGATACTATAAAGATAGTCGTTTTACATCACTAGTCTGTAATATTTCTTGCCTTCTTTCATGTCTTTTTTCCCCCAATGGATAGATGATTTTCTAAAGAAAAAGTCTGGATCTTCCAAGTATAGTTCATCTCCTTGTAAAAGCCAGAGAGCCCAGCAGCAGTTAATAATATGATAGCCATCTATATCTGTTCCTTCTAATGCACTTTCCAAACAAAATTTGGCCAAATCAGAAAGAGAATCAAAGTTTTCAATTGTTATTTTTTCATTGAATTGTGGGAGTACCATTCATATTTCTTTTGATAGGAAAATTTCACTTGCCTCTGTGGAAATGGCCATTGCCAGCCCACCACCTCCCTCAGACATGTCTGGGCAGGTGGGTGGTGGAATCATTTCAGGCAGTATAGGAAGAAAGAAGACCATATCAAAGCAGTGGCTGCTGTACTATGCCAACATTGTTAGGCACTGTGTGGCACCCACATGGTGGGTGCACGGTTGAGGTATGTGCATCAGTGCCATAAATGGCATGGGTCACAGGATATAGGTGTACCGAGTGCCAGGCTAGGCAGTGGCACAGGGTGTGGCAGCTGGGGGGTGGATAAAGTTCTGTGAGGCCACAGCAGCAACAGTACATCTACCTCTTTGAAGACCTCGCCTTGGTTGCTTTGTTAGTAATTTTCTTTAGGACAGTACTCTAAATATGAAATAGTTTCTGGCTAAAGGAAGAATCCATATATGTTATGAATTGTAATTTTGCATGCTTCTGTTGCATCTGGCTGTAGGTTTGTTTGGCTAATTTGGCAAATATACTTATTATTTTAAACTATTATATTTGACTACTTTTCAGTTATAAGAAAATTCAGTGCATTTATAATATATTCTTGAATATGAAGAATTCTTATGAATTCTCCATTTGAAGAACTTAAAATATCTAAAACTAAGTACATATACCTCTCAAAATCTCATTCTGCAATCTTATCTCAGTAATGACAATTCCAAAGTTATGCTGTATTTCTTGACAATTTTCTTTCTCTTACTCTTACACGCCACATCTTGTATGTCAGCAAATCTTTTTAACACTACTTTTCAAAATATATCCAGAATCTGACCTCTTTTTTTACCACCTCTACTGCCACCACCCATTATCATCTCTTGCCTGAATTGTTGCAGAATCTTCTAAACTGGTCTCCACACTTCTGCCCATGTCTCTCTTTTTAACACATTAGCCAAAGTGATCCTTTAAAATGGAATAAGTTCATGTCAGCCCTGCTCATAAAACTAAAAAACGTGTAGCCTGTAAAAGGCCATATAATCTGCCTCTCAGCACCCCTTTCCCCACCATTAACTCTGTGGCTTCTTCTATCACTCTTTCCCCCTTGCTCATTTTGTTTCAACCAAATTAGCTTCCTTGCTTTTGTTCAAAAAATGCCTGAGGATCCTGGTGCCTCAGGGCCTTTACACTTACTATTTTCTCTATCCCCATATTCTCACATAGCTAGTGCCCTCACTCCTCTAGGTCTTTTTGCAAAGGCCATTTGCTCAGTGAGGCATTTTCTTTCCACCCTATCCGAAATTTCAACCATCTACTCTGGTCCTTTACTTCCCTCTTCCCTACTGTGTTTTTCTTCCTTAACATGTATCATTAACTTGCTATATATTTTACTTCTGTGTTTTATTGTCTCTCCCCCAGTATAGTGAAAGCTTTATGAAGGGAGGTGTTTTTGTCTTGGTTTATTCACTGCTATAGCCCCAGTGCTTAGAACAGTTCTTGGCATATAAAGACCGTATTAGTTTCTCAAATTGCCTCAAACTTATTGGCTTAAAAAAAACACCCATTTATTATCTCACAGCTCTGTAGGTCAGAAATCTGGGCATGGTGTAGCTGAGTTCTCTGCTCAGAGTATCACAAGGTTGAAATCAAGGTGTTGCTGGTGTGCTCTTATTTGGAGTCCAGGATCCTCTTTCAAGTTCATTACGGTTCTGGGCTGAATTTAGATCATTGCAGTCCTAGGACTGAAGTTCCTATTTTCTTGCTAGCTGTCAGCTGGGGCCACTCATTTCCCGAAGAATGCCTGCAGTTTCGTGCCATGTGGCTTCCATGGGCAGTTCACAACAGTGCTATTTGCTTTCTTCCAGGCCACCAGGAGCACATCTCTCTGACTTCTAATCCCAGACTTCCTCTGTTTCTGCTCTCTAGACCTAGATGTAAAGGGCTCATGTGATTTAATCTGACCCACCCATATAATCTCCTTTTCGGTTAACTCAGAGTTGAGATTAGTAACCTTAATTATATCTGAAAAATTCCTTTTGCCAGGCAAAGTAACATCATCGTAGGCATGATAGTTCATCATCATAACAGGTTTTACCCACATTCAAAAGGGATGGAATTATACAAAGGGGAGGGTCATCTTATAATTCTGCCTTTTAGAAAGGCACTCAATAAATACTTGTTGAATGAAGAACAAATAGATTCTTTTTATGCTCCCTAGTCTTCAGTTGTGGCAATAGGGAACTGAGGCACAAAATTAAATATTACTAGAAATGCTGGTAAGAAGACAAAATGAAAAGCAGTCAACTAAAACTATTGGAAACAAATAAATTTGCTTCCAGGTAAATTGAATATGGTGTTTTGATCTCTGAGCCCTTTTTTTTTTTTTTTTGTCTTTTTTTTGTTTTTTTTTCGTGTCCGGCAACAGATCGCAACCCTCAGTGTCACGCCCGTACCGGACCGGGACCGGCAACGGGATTGCAAACCTCGGTGCTGCGCCCGCCCCTCGCTCAGCCAGTGAGCGGGAACCGGTCTGCATGTAGGATCCGAACCCTCGGCGGGAGCGCCACCATGCTCCCAAGCGGCGCACTGTAGCAGTGCGCCACCGGGCCGGCCCCTCTGAGCCCATTTTTTAAAATTCTATGAGCATATATCCAACCAGATGATTCTGCTACCTAACATGCCCCACATGTACACCAAGAATACAGAATTTTCAAAGCAGCATTGTTCATATAGCCAAAAGCTGGAAACAATCCAAATGTTCATCAGTAGTAGTTTGGATAATTGTGGGATATTCATACAGATTAGTACTAGACAACAGTGTAAATGCACTACAGTTGTGTAGCAGGCCAGGTTGAATCTTACAGTCATGTTGAACAAAAAAGGCTAGTTAAAAGAAAATATACTGTGATTCGTTTATATAAGGTTCAAAAACAGGCAAAACTCAACTATAGTATTGCAAGTCAGAATAATAATTACCTTTTGAGGCCAGCCCGTGGCTCACTCGGTAGAATGCGGTGCTGATAACACCAAGGCCACGGATTCGGATCCTATATAGGGATGGCCGGTTTGCTCACTGGCTGAGCGTGGTGCTGACAACACCAAGCCAAGGGTTGAGATCCCCTTACCGGTCATCTTTTAAAAAAAAAAAAAGAAGAATAATTACCTTTTGGGAGAAGGAAGGGAGTAGTGATTGGGAAGAGCTATATAAAGGGGCTTCTAGGTAGTTCATAGTGTTCTGTTTCTTGATTTGTGTGACAAGTACATGGGTGTGTTAACTGATAATTCATCAAGCTGTGCAGTATGACTGGTTCACTTTTCTCTATGTATGCTATACTTTAGTGTTTTAAAGTCTGGGGTTTTTTTTTAATGTAAGATTTTTTTTTTTAATATTCACCTCTTATTAGATATATGATTTTTTTTGTCTTTTGTCTTTTTCCGTGTCCGGCAACGGGTTGCAACCCTCAGTGTTGCCCCCGCACCGGACCGGGGACCGGGGACCGGCAACGGGACTGCAACCCTCCGCGTCGCTCCCGCGCCTCGCTCAGCCAGTGAGCGGGAACCGGTCTGTATGTGGGATCCGAACCCTCGGGCGGGAGCGCCGCCGTGCTTCCCAAGCGGCGCACTATCCAGTGCGCCACCGGGCCGGCCCCTAATGTAAAATTTTTAAAGTTAGCATTTTAAGAAAGCACTTAAATATTTGCAGTTGAGGTTTTGTCTGCATTAATTTAGTATGGGTTATGTTATAAAACCAAAGGGTTTGGATCCCCGTACTAGCCAGCTGCCCCCCCCCCCCCCCCCCCAAAAAAAGAAATATGGGTTAAAGAAAGCATGAGAAAAAAAATTTTAAAAATAAATAATTAAGTTATGGGCCGGCCGTGGCTCACTCGGGGCAGTGCGGTGCTGATAACATCAAGGCCACGGGTTCGGATCCCATATAGGGATGGCCGGTTCGCTCACTGGCTGAGCGTGGTGCTCACAACACCAAGTCAAGGGTTAAGATCCCCTTACCGGTCATCTTTTAAGAAAAATAAATAAATAAATAAATAATTAAGTTAAATTACACTTTTAAAAAGTGAACATGAGAAAAGTTTTTAGTGTTGTATATTTCTTATGCCTACTCATCATGTGTCAAGTACCGTGAGTTCTGTGGGGGAACATTGTTTCTCAAGTATATTTGCATTTCTTTTGTATTGCTCTAAATGCTTCCATTTGTCTCCTTTTATTCTTACAGATGTGGAGAGATTATTCCCAAAAGAGAACAGTTTAATGACCTTTCCATCGACCTGCCTCGTAGGAAAAAGCCACTCCCTCCTCGTTCAATTCAAGATTCTCTTGATCTTTTCTTTAGGGTAAGTAATATCTTTGATATTTTCACATAACTAAAATTTATCATAGATATTGTATTTGAAATTGGTTTCTTCAAGGCAGAGTTTCAACAAAATTATTTGCATGGAAAACAAGTGAGAAGTATTTATAAATATTTATTTTTAAAATCTTGATGAAATCTAATTGTAAGTCATTGAAGAAGAAGATTGATTGCTTAAATAAGTTATATATTTAACTCAATGGCAAAGGTTTTAGACAAACTTAGAAGCAATTCATTATTTGTAAACAAATATAAATTTAAAGCATTTGAAATGACATATTGCTAAAATTTGGTAATGTGAATTAAAATTGGAGATACTATGTCAGTTGGTATACTAAGATATGAGGAATGAAAAAATACTCTTTGCTTTTCCTTAGGTTGTATGTACCCTGTTAGAAACAAAAAAGAAGAATTATGTTTATCCAAAGCTGTAGATTAAATAATTGTGTCTGTGCTATACTGTTACAGATATTCAGAATGTTTCTAGGCATGATTAGACCTGTTGTATAGCAGTTCTTTTAACTGGTGGAAATTTACCAGAATCCCCCTATACGCTATATAAATAAAATAGTGGTCCTTGTTTTGTTGTAGCAAATTGGCAGGGTTATCTTGTTTAGGTTTTAAAAAAAAACTCTGTTCTTTAAATAATGCACATTCAGCTTCACCTGAAGATAAATACTTTGCTTTCCTTTTACTTTAGTCATCCTTTAATATTTCCGTTATTATCATAGACTTCAAAGATTTTCCGATGAATCTTTATCCCAATTTTTGAAAGGATTTTCTGTTTTAGTTTTCTCTCTGTAATGATATCTACCCCAGACTTTGGTCCTTTTAGAGCAGTTGTTTTTAGTGGGCTGTCATCAGAAGGCTGAATTCCATCATAAGAAAGGAGTAGAGTTACACCTAACAATCCAGGAACTCCACCTAACCTAGATGAGATCTTGTCTCTGTTAAGGCCATATGTTAAAATCTGGATATACTCTTGGTAGTGATTCGTGTATATCCATGGGGAAAAGGTTGAGAATCTGCTATTTTAGAGTCTGGTTACTCTTATAAATTGAGATGTCTCCTTGGTAAAAAGGAAATTAGGAGTTCTGAAATAGGGCATAATGTTATAACTATATTTTGAGGATTAGGTCTTAATTTAGTAAGGCTTGTGGCTGTAGACACAAAATTTAAACTGGTTTAAAATTGACACATCTGTAAGAATAAAAGGAGACAGACAAATGGAAGCATTTAGAGCAATACAAAAGAAATACAAATATACTTGAAAATTTATGACAGTTTCATTCCACTGAACTAGTAAGACTAGAAAAGGTTATGTTTGCATTTAATGGGTTAATGCTGATTTAACTTTATGCTTTTCTATTTTTCTTTTTATAGGCAGAAGAACTTGAATATTCTTGTGAGAAATGTGGTGGGAAATGTGCTCTTGTCAGGCACAAATTTAACAGACTTCCCAGGTAAAATTAATTGCTCTTTAATTTTTCTTTTTTAAGTACATACAAATATTAATGAATAAGTAACGCTTACAGAATGGATTGCTAAAGAAGGTCAGCAAAGCCGAGATGTGAAGAATGTAGAGGATGGAGAGCTAGAGTGCTCTTGCATAAGAAAGGAAGAGGGTTTGGAATGTTGAAGAGGAAAAGAATCTTGAGAGTCTCAAGAAGATAGCAGTAATAGGATGCAGTTGCTGAGACTTGGGAATAATGATAGGGACTAGCTAGTAGATTTTTAATTCAGTAATATGTAACATTCAGTTTTAATTTGTTGTCCTTTGTTGTGCTGTAGTTTTCCCTTTCCTATCTCAAATCTTAAGTAAAAATCTGCACACTACAGACAGATAAACATGAAAATAAATTAGGAAGAGTAATTTTTTCCAGTTTGTACCTTCTTTTTTCTCAGAGGATCTTAAGTTTCCCATAATCATAAGACAAATTTTCTGATTTAGGAATGAAATTAAATTATACTGTATTAGCTCTGTATAAACAAAGATAAAACCAAGTTAGTTACAAAAATTATAATGTGGTTATAGGATAGCTTTTAGCTCTTTCCAAGAATAGATCTCAACAATAAGTAAGGTTATTATTAACATTAAGTATCTATGTGGGACTTTGCCTGTACAATGCTTTACTTTCTTTTATTAGCTTCAGTTTTCTATGAGTAAGTGTGGAGTTTCTGGAACCTAGCCCCTAGAGACTAGTTCTTTTACATTCCATAATTACTCCTTTTTAGAAAATGAGTTGTTTTTAAAGAAATGACTTTATAAACCATAGTAGTAGTAATATATTGACCATAGTCCATATTTTTACTTAAGAGACTTTGTTCTTTTCTATTTATGAGTGTTTTGAGTCAGGAGGGTGGGAAGAAGAAATCTTAAGGCAAAGGATTGGTTATTACCAGCTGTCACTAACTAAGGAAACCAGTGTACAATTAAAAAGACTTGTTTGACTTTGCAAGCTCGATATCTCTTCCCATTCTCATTCTCTATCTATTTGGTCTTTCAAGTGGAAAAAATATACAGTGAGGGGAATTTTTCTCCTTGTTTTTTTTTTTTCTGGTAAGTCACTGTATTAAAGGTTGATTTATTCCAAACTTACATGAAATAGAAGCCTCTGTATCTTAAACCCTAATGATAAGCTTTGTTCAATTTTTGTTCGTTATAATATTCAAAGTCATTCTACTTTTATTCTTGAAGGGCCTGATATCTTTATATTAATTTTTTTTACTTTTAGTCTGCCTCATCTTTGCAGATTGGTGATTTTGACTATCCTCTTCCTATTTCATATTGCCTTTTGGTTACGATTAATCTCTTCACATCACTTGGGTCCTTGTGTTCACTCAGCTTGTGAATTTTTGAAGGTTGTGAATTCTAGCATGCTTTTTAAAAGAAATGTACAATCGCTAACTTTACAAATTTTTGAGTTTATGGCTTCTGTGATGAAGGCATATACGGAAAAAGAGAAAACAGTTTTTCATAGATCAGACTTTTTTTTTCGCCTAGAAATGAAGTTTATTCCTATAAGATTTATGAAATTCCATTTTTAAAGTGTTCCTGTGGGCTGTGAAATATATTTAATCCATCAGGTAGAGATTATGTTCTGTACAAAAGGTGAAAAGTTTACCACAATAGAAACCAAAAAGAATTCAGTGTTTCTAAAGAGCCAAAAGCCTTTAAAACCAAACCAAATTTGCCCAAATTTAGCATGTAAAGTTTTGTATTTTTGTCTAGGTAGGGGAAATGTTTCATTTCTCTCTTAGCTTTCTCCAGAGAAAGTGCTCCTGAAATAAGAGAATAATTCTTGTCAAAAATTATCTTGAAATAATTAATGTTCACCATCAAACATAAGGGCTATGTAGCATTTTAATTTAATAGACATTATTTTACCTATAGTGATTATATAACACATATTTCTTTTTTAACTATATAACAATGAAGTAAATAATTTAAAGGTTTTTAACTCATTATCAATACCAGCTTTTAGAAATTTACTATTCTTTTTTTTTTTTTTTTAAAGATGACCGGTAAGGGGATCTCAACCCTTGGCTTGGTGTTGTCAGCACCACGCTCAGCCAGTGAGCAAACCGGCCATCCCTATATAGGATCCGAACCCGTGGCCTTGGTGTTATCAGCACCGCACTCTACCGAGTGAGCCACGGGCCGGCCTTTTACTATTCATTTCTGCTGTTTTATTTATTGGAGTTTTTTTCTGGGAACATTAGTATTTTACTCAAACCTTATTAATCCACCAGTGTTAGTGTTTTGTTTTTATTTGTATGCTTAGTACCTAGCCCAGTGCCTGGCACATAGCAGGCATTCAGTAAATGTTCTTTGAAGTATCTTTAGTTTGGCCAAATTATTCTTTAAAACAAAAGTTGTCTAACGTGGTTGGAGTGATCTCTTTTAATCTGTAAGAGAGTTACCTGTATTATGTATGAATTAGTAAGGTCATCTCCTGTTTTTCAGGATACTCATTCTTCATTTGAAACGATATAGCTTCAACGTGGCTCTCTCACTTAACAACAAGATTGGGCAGCAAGTCCTCATTCCAAGATACCTGTCTCTGTCATCTCATTGCACTGAAAATACAAAACCACCTTTTACCCTTGGTTGGAGTACACATATGGCAATGTAAGTCCTTCAGAGAGAGTGTCTTTACCTTCCTTCCTGAAATTGAAAAGCTTTAGTATCCAATCAAAGAATGACTGAACTAGATAACATGACTCTCAGGTAAAAATCAGACCAAGGAGGAGATTTTAATTTTGCTTTATTTTGGAATTTTAGTGTTAAATTACTGCCAGATTGAAGTAATTGAAGAAAATGCTTAAACAAAATTCTTCCAAGTTTATTAGCTGCCTTTTGTAATGAGGTGCTTTTTTAGGGAATGCTCTTACTCTTTTAAACCACTAGAAGACAATTTGATACACTTTGGGAATATAAATCAAACTCGGGTGATCGTAAGAGTCACCTGGATACTAAAAATACTGATTCCTATGTTCTTTCCCTGGAAGTTCTGCTTCCGTAGATGTGGGATATGGCTTGGGAGTCAGTATTTTTAACAAATATCCCAGTTGACTCTTCAGGAGATGCAAATTTGAGAAACAGTGTGCTAAATGTTATGCTGGAGCCCCCAGAATAGAATGTGTCTTTGTTAATGTGTTATCACCAATGGGAAGAACTTCAGTGGCTCCTAGAAAATTTTCAAAGGGAAAAGAAGTAACCTTTAGTTTTGCTCCATCATGTATGCTGGGAAAACCTTAGGAATTCTCTGAATGTTGCTATTTTTTCTGCATACTAGCATTACTTTGGAGCCATATGCTGTAGTCATTTCTATTCTTGAACATGAGTTTCGTAGAGTCATAAAATTCTAGAACTTTAGAGGTGAAAGGGATTTTAGAGATTTTGTCCAAATCTTTAATTTTTCCAGAGGTGATCCAAGAAGAATAAGTGATTTTCCTAAGGACATATAATTAATAACTCTTGGCCAACGTGGAATAATAGAAATTTCAGAAAGTGAGTGAACATTTGCCAACAAAAATTGATGCAGTTTTGTAAAATAGATTTCTCTTTGGATTTATAATTGAAATATATGTTACATTGTATAAGTTTACACTAAAGTCCTCAAGAGACTACTACTAAGTCATGTGTCCAGAGTCTTAAGTGTTCCTCATTTTTTTCTGTTACAGCTTTTCCTTGTAATAAGTGTTTTTGCTTGGTGCAAACTGCCCTCTGCTGGTAGAGCTATTTACTCTTTATGGGAGTAATACTATATATCACGCCATCAGTGTAGGGTTTTTATGATCACAGGCCTGAAACTGACATCATAATTTAATAGCTTTAAGACCTTGGACAAATTCTTTGACTTACCTGTAGGGAAAAGAATAAGGTGGTTGTGAACATTGAAAGAGTTAATCCATATAGAGTTCTTATTACAGTGCCTGACATCTAGTAAGTCCTCAATAAATGAGAGCTATTATTATTTTATTGATTAAAAGTAAAGAACTGAGACAAGGTAATTTTCCTTTAGTTTTTCTTTTCATATGCATTACACTTGATTTTGTTTCCAGTGCTGTTTATTTAAATTATTGGATCAGGGAAAGCCTAGAGATGGTATTTCATTTTCTCTTTTGGCCTTTATTGCTAGTCATTTAAAAAGTATTATTGGAAGTTAAATATGTATCTTTAATAATGCAATTGTATACATTATATATTTTCTAATTTTCTGATAGTTCTAGACCATTGAAAGTCTCTCAAATGGTGAATTCCTGCATCACCAGCCCTTCTACACCTTCAAAGTGAGTTATGTTTCTTGTGTATCCCAAATTTGTATTTTTAAGGATTTGGCTTACCCTAATCTCCAAGATTGCCCTCCTCCCTTTTCTTTATTATTGCTCTTTTTGCATGATAACTGCTCTGTTTTACCCATATTTTGGAATTTTTCTGAATCTGGTTTAAAGTATAGCCTAGGGTATAACAAGTTTTTAACAGTGAAATAAGTTCAGGTGATCCTCTCAATATGTGGTTTTAAAATTTCTCAAAACTTATTATCATTTATTAATATGTAATGATTTTATCCTAAAACTCTAAAAATGAACTGATGACAAGGGACTTTAGGGATTCGAGGGATAAAATAACCCGTTAGTCTAAAGCACCCTTCCTCCAAGAAGCATGGACTCCCAAAACATCTTTTTACCTGTTGCTAGCCAGTCTAGGACTTTGGTTTTCAACACTGCGTAGGAGGTATTCTGAAAGGGTACAGGAAAACAGCATGCACTGGAATGTAGCTATTCTACAAATGCATTATGTTTTTTGTTCAAGACCAAAAGTTTGTCCAAGGAAGGAAGCAAATGCTTTTTTTTTTAATGTATCTCCTCTAAGATTTCCTAGAACCACAGTTCCTGATTAGACTATTCTAATTGACTTAGTTCTCATTTGACTTTAAAATTTGATGTCCTAAAGTACTTTTAGAACAGAGACACTTTTGTTGTTTAAGGGCTTTTGGGGGGGCTTATATAACCATAAAATGACATTTGGGAACTGCTATTTTCTTTTCCTCCTGTTAATTATTTTTCAGTGCAATTAAAACCAGATGACTAACATGACTAGAAATCTGAAATGGTACCGATATGAATACCCTTGTCCGTTCTCAAGATACAAATGAGCAATACCACTTGGCTGCTTAGAAAGTGAGCAAGTGATGCATTTACAGGATGAATATTTTTCATTGCTACAGGCAAGCTGCCTTCTGTGAATATAGTAATTATTAATGGAATGCACTCTTTATGTTCCAAATCACTTAGTTGCAAGAAAGAAATTATTTCATTGGGCATCATTGAACCTTGGCATGGTCATCTGTTCTCCAGGGTCTAGTGGTATGAGAATTTGAAAGTTGGTCAATAAAGGATGGTTAGGCCCTAGAAGACTTGTCATGCCGATCAAACTTAAAAGAGGCTGAGTTATGAACCAGAATATCATTGGTTCTACAATGTCCTTTGCCATGTTTGACCCTGGTGCAATAGTAGCCAGGTGTCACCCTCCTTTGTCAAAGTATTTACCTATATAAACAAATTAATGTGTTCAGGTTTGGTTGGTGAGCATGAAATCAGAAATAAGGAATTAAGATGTCTAATTGGCTATTTCTAAGGTATTTAAAAACCCTTTTGAACACATAATAGGCTATTCAAGTGTTCAGGCTGGAGTGCAATGATATCCTGGCTGCTCTCAGCCACAGACTATGTTTGAGTTTATCACTGACCACTTGCCTCTTTTCTTTGATCTACATTGCTATGCAGTCCTGATTTCCATTGTGGCCTCTTATTTCTTGGTGCTGTCATTTTATGTGTTTATGTACAGTTTTAACATTTAGATTAACTGCACTTCTCTAATTTCCATTTTAATTTTTTTTAGTATAGCATATCAATTTGTGTTAACTTCCATCAAAGAAAGTTCTTACTCTTAGACCTTTACCACTTTTTCCTCTAGTTTATTTTCAGCTCACCTAGAAGACAACACAGTAACACCTTACTTATCTGGTATCATTAAAGAATGGTATTTGGTATTCCACATAAATGAATGTTTATATAACTGAAGCTTGCCTTTTAAGCATTTATCTTTCAAAATTTTAAACCATTTTGGATGAAATTTTTTCTAAAATATGTTACACTATTCCTTATACTGTATTCTTAAATAAAATACACTGAAGATAATTTCAGTAAATCTTACTGACTTAGAGTCAGCATTATGAATATCAATTATTGCACTGTTTTAATACGATATTGCTCTCAGAAGCTTCTAATTATTACAAGACAGTTTACCTTTACATTAAATGACTTTGTAGTTCTTTTTTGCCCTTTCTTGTGGTTATTCTCTCTCATTTCTTAGCTCTCATTTTTTGATGAACTTGCTATACAATTTTATACACCATTTCCTGGGAAAGAAAGGGTCCTCGTAAGTGCATGGTCTTTGGAACTGGCTCCCTCAGAAGACTTTCTTCTTACTTTGGAATCCCTGTATTCTGGAAGGTAGAGGTTGCCAGAAATCTGACCTGCGGATAAGTGGAATGTTACTGTTATTTTGAAAGTGCATGGATCATAATTTAAAAGATCAAAATTTAGTTCTCATGCACTTGTCAAAAACATTTATTCATTGCTATGCCTGCATGAATTCAGTAGAGTACTTACTTTATAAAGACAATAGCAGACTTCATTGGGGCCAGTCATTAAAAGAAAAAGGCGCAAAGTGATTGGTTTACTGATGATATGTAATAGCATAAGAGTTGTACAGTTTTCAAAGCATGGCTCTTTTAGAGTGGGGCAAAGGTAATGCTTAAATATACCTCTTGATAAATCAGAGAAAAACTCTGTTAAATAATTTTCCATTGAGAAAAAGCATTTTGCTTTGGTATTTATGCATCAAAAGAATAACAAAGACAAATGTTTGTCAGACTTAGTTTCTTTTTTTTTCTTAAACTACAGGAAATTCAACTTTAAATCCAAGAACTCCTTGGCTTTATGCCTTGATTCAGACAGTGAGGATGAGCTTAAACGCTCAGTGGCCCTCAGTCAGAGACTTTGTGAAATGTCAGGCAATGAACAGCAGCAGGAAGACACAGAAAAAGTAAGTATTTTTTTATCAAAACATCTGACAAAGATTCATGTAGCTCTTACTGTCCAAACAAATGCCTTTTATAACCAGCATCAGGAAACTTAATAAATACACAAGACAGATTGTAAGCTTAAAGGATCTGTTCAGACAATAGTTTTAAAGAACGTGCTTTCTGTAGCTACAAAATTCAGTCTGTTTAGGGGCCGGCCCGTGGCTCACTCGGGAGAGTGTGGTGCTGATAACACCAAGGCCCCGGGTTCGGATCCCATATAGGGATGGCTGGTTCGCTCACTGGCTGAGCGTGGTGCTGACAACACCAAGCACAGGGTTAAGATCCCCTTACCGGTCATCTTTAAAAAAAAAAAAAAATTCAGTCTGTTTAGGGGCCGGCCCGTGGCTCACTCGGGAGAGTGTGGGGCTGATAACACCAAGGCCCCGGGTTCGGATCCCATATAGGGATGGCTGGTTCGCTCACTGGCTGAGCGGGGTGCGGACAACACCAAGCCAAGGGTTAAGATCCCCTTACCGGTCATCTTTAAAAAAAAAAAAAAAAAAAAATTCAGTCTGTTTATAAGTAGATCAAGACTTTTAGGAAATTAAAGTTGTTTTAGACAAATTACTTTCTCCTGTTAACTTTCAGAGCTACTTTTTCATATTGGTGCTCAAGTAATTACTCACCTTATTTTGGTAGCAATTATTTATGTCGGGAAACCATAGTAAACATTTTATTTAACAGAGCAACCAAGTAATCTAATTGTTTAAATTAAGGGTGTGAAGACAGCCACATTATCTCCTAACTTGACACTTAATGGTAGTTAATACTTTGGAGATCTAAGCTTTTCTAGGTGTTTGCATCATTTCATGCTACTGTGTTTTATTTTAAACCTCCCTGTTGTTAAAATAAGATTATTTTAGTTACTTTTTTATTCTGAGTTGTTTCCCATCTTACTTCAAAACTGGAAGTAATTTGTGGTTGCTCACTTTGAATGGGAAATGAGAAAAAGTACGAAATTCTCCCAGAAATGTAAGAATGTTACTTAGAAAATAACTTCTGAGTATTTACATAATATTGATGTAGTTTTTATTTTTTCTCATTTGTTTTGTTAAAAAAAAGGAATAAGAGCAGTCAATTTTTAAAAGGAATGTTTGGTATAATGATAGAATATTAACAGTTAATCCATAAATACCTGGAAGAAAATGCACTGAAAATACTTACAGCAATTATCTCTGAGTAGTCTATTTTGAGTGAATTTACTTAGTTTTTATATATTTTTCAAATTTCCACAAAGAAAATACTTAGCACATGTTATAATGAAGAAAAGTAATCATGTATCCTTATGTAGTTATTATTTTTAAAATTAGGCTTGCCAGTGAGTTATTGTTAGTTATTGATTGTTAAATAACCCAAAGCATCAAAGAAACTTTTTGGAAATAAAGTTCCCACTTTAAACTCTAAGATTGCTATATTTGTAGATATTCTAGTTTCCTCTAAAAGTAACTCTCTTCTTCAGGATTCAAAATTATGCAGAATAGAGCCTGATAAATCCAAATTGGAAAACTCAGGATTCGATGGAATGAGCGAAGAAGAGCTTCTAGCAGCTGTCTTAGAGATAAGTAAGAGAGAAACTTCACCGTCTCCTAGTCATGAAGATGATGATAAACCAACCAGCAGCCCAGATACTGGATTTGCAGAAGATGATATTCAAGAAATGCCTGAAAATCCAGACACTATGGAAACTGAGAAGCCCAAAGCAGTCACAGAGCCAGGTAGGTTTAATGAAGATAAACATTTGTTAAAGCATAACTGTATTCCAAAGCCTTACAGTGACAAATGGCTTCTAAAAAATGAGAGGTAAGATGGATCTTTATAACAGAGCTGATAATATTTTCATGCTTTATTTTAAAAAGCTTTAAAAAATCAGAAGTAAATATTGTGACTAGTATCCAGATGCTAGTGGTAAAGTGTACCGTATCTCTTTAGATATACATCAGAAGAAAAGTTAGCATTCTTCTTATGTACATTTAATTGGTATTTGTGTTGGGTTTTGGTTACTTTTCTCACCACTGCTATCTCAGAAATTCTTTATTTTTCTATTACCTGAATTTGTACTAAGTTTTAGTATATAAATAATTCAGGCTCTCCATCCTCTGTTGGGTTCATCCCATTATAAGGATAGAAAGACCACTGAACTAAGACGTCAGGTCTTGGACCTCTGACTGTACCACTTACTAGCTGTGAATTTTCAAACAGGTAATTTTACATCTTTGATATTTAGGTTATTTATCTCTGGGATCTGCCAGACATACTTTAGAATGTTGTGAGTGGAATGTTAGATAGTATATACATATAATGTAAAGTGCTCTACAGATATGAAATTGTTTTTGGTAATTTTTATTCATATTTTGTTATTTCTTAAGCTAGCAATAGGAAAAACAGAGCTGAGCCTCTTTGCCTGGCACTGTGGGTATTTTGAGGTTTTTTGTTTGTTTGTTTTTTAAGGTGGAGAATTTTTACTATCTTTGTGTGGCCAATTCTAATTTTTCTCTCTTGATAGCCCCAAGATCTAAAAAAAAAATGTATTACTAGTGTGTTTCAAGTGCACTAAGCCTAGGATTTTTGAAATAAAGAGAATAGTAGAATATCACAAAATTATTTTCTTCATTCTCAGAGTCAGGGCCTCTTCAATTTTGATTTTTTTTTTTATGCAAGTAAAACAAAAATTAGTACATTGTCAATTTAACTGGAAACAAAAAGCTGATGGGTTTTATATATAGGCATTACTTTTTTCCTTGTGATGTAAGTTTTCTTATGTAATCCCCTTTTCTTATTAAACTTATAATCACTGCCCTTAGATATCTTTGGTTAATATTAGTGCTTTTGTCCCTTCCTGATTTATTTTCTGCTTTCAGTTCTTCCTTTCAATTCTCTGCTTAGTCCTGTGACTCCCTAAAATTAACAAAGGAAGTTACTCTTATGTACAGTTATTTCTAGATTATCTATTCTAACAGAGGAGAACACACTAAGATTATCAAAATCATTAATCGCCATAGATGGCTTACAACTATAGCAGCTTTAGAGAGGGCAAATTGTATAGTACTTTATTTCCTTGTTTTCTGTAGATTCTCTGTTTTTTAGCTACCACATTCCCCAGTTGGATGTACACTATTGTTGCATTTCCTGGTTCTTTAACCTCACCATTCCATTCACCTTCTACTGTAACTGAAACCTAAAGACATTGCTTCTCCTGCAATTTTTTTTTTAATGTATGGAAAATATATTGAGCAAAGAAAAAAGTAGAGATGAGTATGACGAACCTTCCCCCACCCCTTGTACACATCATTTATTTTCAATAATTACCAAGAAAAAAACAATCTTATTTTATGTATACCCTAATATATTTCTCCATCCTATCCCCTGGATTATTTCGAAATCAGTCACAGATATTACATCACTTCATCAGTAAGGATTTCAGTATCTCTAAAATTAAGAACTGTTTTTTAACATAGCCTCAGTCCCATTATTATACATATTGATGAAATATCAAGTTCATATCTCTGCCCTGGATCTCTCTCCTGAGCTTTAAACTTGTATATTAAAATGCGTATGTGAAATCTCCATTTGGCTGATTTTATTTTTCCCTATCCCCACCAATTATGCCTTCACTCATCAGGAAATGGTACCATCATCTATCCAATTGCTCAGACCAAAAAACATGTCTCCCTTGAATTTTTTGTTGTACTTCACACCTTACATTCAGTCCATCAATAAATTCAGTCAGCTGTACCTCCGAAATGTGTCCTGAATTCAACTATTTATCAATATCTTTATGGCCGTAACTCTAACCTTCCTTCTCTTACCTGGACCACTGTAACGGATTCCTAACTAATGTCTCTTTTTCCATTCTTATTCCCCTACAGACCTTTTTTCATGAATGAAGCAGCCAAAGTAATCTTTCTAAAGTATAAATCATACCATGTCAGTCTCCTACTTAAAACTTACTGTGACTTCCCAGTACACTTAATATAAAAATCCACATTTCTTACTATGACCTATCTTTACTCTCACCCTCTTTCACTGTGTACTCTAGCCATACTGGTATTCTCTTCATCCCTCAAATATGCTAAATTCATTCTTATCTCAGAGCCTTTGCACTTAAACTTCTTGAGGGCAGGGGCCATCTTGCCTTAATTATGACTGTATCCCCAGTGCCTGGCACATCATAGATTCTTAATAAATATTTGTGACCAAACAGATCTGCTATCTCATGAATCAACTGAGGAGGAACAGGAAGACTGGCTGAGTAAGGTTTTACAGCTTCAAGACACTAGCCAGAGGGAATATTGTATACAAGGGCTCAGACATGAGAAAGGCTATATAGCAAGTTAGTGGACCTAAAAAAAGTTCGGAATGATCTGCGTTACTGGAGCATAGTGTTGAAGGGGAAAAACAAAAGATGAGACCAGAAGGTTAAGTAGTCTCTGGTTTTTTTGCGTGACTTAAAGCCGTGTTTAGCAGTTTGGACTTTTATTTCAAAAGCGTTAGGGAATTCTTGGTTATTTTAAGCAAATAAGTGTTTGATAAAAGATTTATGTTTGGGGGTAAAAAAAAAGATCATTCTGGCTGCAGTATAGAACCTAAGTTAGAGAAGAACCAGAGTAATCCTGTGAGACCTGTTAGGAAGTTATTGCAATAGTCCAAAGCAAGTTAATGATGCCCTAAACCAGGGTTTTGGATTGGAAAGAAAAAAAGTTGATGGAATCAAGTGATAATTAGAAAGTAATGATTTATGTGATGTGAGGGGTGAATGAGAAGGAGAAGTCAAAGATGACTCTCAGGTTCCTGTCTTCAAAAAACAAACTACAGTGATCTCATTCACTGAAATACAGAATATAGGGAAAGGAGTAGATTTCAGTTGGGGTGTCGGGAAGCGGCAAATGATATGTTCAGTGTAAGAATGTTGAGTTTCACGCATGGAACCCGTTTGATCCGTTTTGCAAGTTCCTTAAAAGTGGATTTTTTTTTGTGGCCATATTTGTCCCCATAGATTTTTTTTTTTTTTTTTTCTTTTTGTCTTTTTCCGTGTCCGGCAACGGATCACAACCCTCAGTGTTGCCCCCGTACCGGACCGGGGACCGGCAACGGGATCGCAACC